TTGGGGTTGAAGGTTTAGGGTTTGGGGTCTAGGGTTTAATTTTCGGGAAGAGAAAACCCGAAGTGGTGTGAGAAGCAGTTATAAACATAGTTACTTTAAGCGTAACAGTATAACATCGCATAACCCTACCTACCAAGTCCCAAAACCCTTTTTGTAAATGCAACAAACAAGTAAACGACAGCCTCAGCACCGGTCTCTTCGTCGATGTAGCAATCTCCGCCTTTTTGGGGTTTAGTGTTGTGGGTTTAGGGTCCATAGGTTTGGGGTTTTAGGGTATGGGGTTCCTAGGTTTTCGGATTTTTGGTTGGGGCTTTGGGGTAGGTAATCTCTGCCTTCGCTCGGACGACTCGCCCAACTGCGAACGCCGTAAACCTTCCTCGATTCAGCTGGCAAGCGGGGCAAGACAACTCAAAACCCCTCTTTTTAAGGTTTCAAAGAAACACCCTGCTATCCTCACGGGGTAAACGCTTACTGTCAGGGGATTTATCAAATAAGCTTGATGAGTATTAGCATTAGTACTAACTATACCGCCCCGATGAACGAACTTCCCACCTCAGCTATGACCTATGGACATCTAGCAACCCGAAACGCTAAGCCTTAATACCCAAACCCTAAACCTGAAACCCTACATGCTAAACCCTTAACCCTGAAGTCCAAGCATCTTCAAACCCAAGCCCAGTGCCGCCCGCCGTGCACAGCAGCGGCCAATGTCCCCGAAGCCGCACACAGCCATCCTTGCTTGAAGCTTTGGGGAACGAAAGCAGCATCTTGTGGCCCAACTACTGGGAAACACAAATCGCGAACGGCAAGCAGCGTCCCCGGCATTGATCGAGTTCGGGGGTTTATGGTTTTTCGGTGAGTAGTACCGTGAGGGATAAAGGAACAGAGTCGCAGGGGTTAGCTGGACAGGGTTTCGGAATCAAAGCACTCAATTCCGGTACTGCAACCGCAACCAACGAAGCTTCCTGATCATATCAGTAGCTGAATGCAGCGGTTAGGCTGTAAGGCTTGGCACTTCTGGTTTAGGGCGGAGGGTTGCGGGCATTGGGGCGCGGCAAGAGGGGCTTCAGTTGATAAGACAGGGTTTAGGGTTTAGGGTTTAGGGTTTAGGGTTTAGGGTTTAGGGTTTAGGGTTTAGGGTTTAGGGTTTAGGGTTTAGGGTTTAGGGTGTTGGCGATCTTGTAATACAACGACAGCTCTACTACAGCGACTTCCTGAGCCTTGATGGAGGATATTTAGGTTTACGAATTCGGGTTTAGCAGTTTAGGGTCTAGAGCTTCGGGGTTTAGGGTTTAGGGTTTAGGGTTTAGGGTTTAGGGTTTAGGGTTTAGGGTTTAGGGTTTAGGGTATGAACTGATCCAGATGCCAAATCGATGTATTTTCAGGTGCCGACTCGGTGTCCAGGTGGGGGTTTCCGAAAATAGGGGGACCCTAATGTAGTACCCTAAATAGTAGGATCATTGTCAAGGACCCCAACATACCCTAAACCCTAAACCCTAAACCCTAAACCCTAAACCCTAAACCCTAAACCCTTATCTTCGGAAACCCCCAGGTTGCCATACGTCAGGTTTCAGGACGTTGCGCGTGACGTCGGGTTTGGAGGTCCAGAGAGGAAGCCCCGAGCTCAAGAAGACCTGGGACAAAAACCCGCCACTTTCAACCTAGGGGTTTGGGGGTTTAGGGGTTTGGGGTTTAGGGGTTTAGGGGTTTAGGGGTTTTGGGGGTTTACGGTTTAGGGGTCCGGGTTTAGGGGTTTAGGGGTTAATCAGAAATCTTTGTTCAAAGGAAACTACAAGTGTGAGTTTAGGGTCTTTAGGGCTTCTATAAGGCGTCTATAAGGTATGTAGACCTTCTATAAGGCTCCTATAGTGGTAACTACCCACCTGAAAAATGTCCTAGACTTAATCAGAAATCTTTGGGGTACCGATGGGGCGTTCCGGAACCGTGGTCGGCCCTAAGCGGATATGCCGCTGAAGATTCTTGGGGATACGGGATTAGGACGTAGGAGGTGGGTTGAGGGTTTGGCTTGCGGCTTGATGATGTCGCTGAAAAAGGGACCTGTTGTTAAAAGTATACATCCCTAGACCCTGAACGCTATGATCCCTAAAACATGCAAAGAACATGTGAACGTAGACGCCAGGTAACTATAACGACTCTAAACCGAAACCAGCACCCCATTGAAAGCCAGGGGATCATAAGCTGCTTCTCCCATTCGGTAAGAAAAGTCTGCAACACATCGCACAGCTGATCCTGTACCGCGCTGCTGTTTCCACCCCGGCACGCATTACCCCCAGGTGACCACGGATCCATCGACCAGGATTGCAGCGAATGCGCAATCAGAAGCTTGGATCTGCTGCACATCTCGCAGCTGCTCCTGTACGGCACTGCTGTCGCCACCAGAGTGGGCATCACC